TGTCTACTAGTCTGGAATGAACACTAATAAACCGTGAAACAATGTGTTAAATATCAGAGTCTCTCCTTGGTGTAATACTGTTTGTAACATTAAATGTGACTATGTGTCATTTCCCACCAAGGGTTGGAGATTGATATATCACTTGTGTCTGTGGCAATTAAATAATAAACCTGTGAATACAGTAATACCTTGGTTTACGGGCATAATTCGTTCCGGCAGCATGCTTGTAATCCAAAGCGCTTGTATATCAAAGCGAATTTCCCCATTGGAAATAATGTAAATTCAGATGATTCGTTCCACAACCCAAAAATATTCATATAAAAATGATTACAATACTGTACTGTACTATAATATAATACAAAATATAAAGACAAATAAACCAATTACCTGTACCTTCGTGGCCGGTGTGAGGGAGACAAGAGAGAGGAGGATTATTGTGTAGGACGACTTTCACTATCACTAACGGAATCTCTGCTATCTCTCGGCTCAATTGAATCTTTTTCATTTTGTGAAACCTTAACAAGGAATCTATTCAATGTGACATTGCATTGTCGTTAAACAGACTCATCGCTCGCACTGCTACTTATTCGGGTGGTGCTTTTCTACAAAATTTTGCTCTTATTGCAAGACATTGCTTGTATATCAAGACAACATTTTTCAGAAATGTTTGCTTGTCTTGCAAAACACTCTCAAACCAAGTTACTTGTAAACCAAGGTATTACTGTATATGAAAAAATATGGTATTATAGGTCAAATATGGATGGGACAGGTGAGGGGGGGCACTCCTTGTACACCACTAAGGTGTTGGATGCATTGATTTAAATATTAGAAACTGCAAGGGGAGTCGGCACCCGAATGTAATCCTACATCTAGGGTATAATCACAACCAATAATCTCAAAAAGACAAAGTAGGTCAATGTCCTATGACTGCAAATAAGTCCTCACGTAAAGTCGATCCTGGTATCGGCAAAAATCAATCAACCAGTCATCTGTTTCCCCCCAACCTTTGAATAATAGTGTATGGGGGATATTATTACTCATCTGTCCTCCTAGGTTTGTCCTGGGATTCCCTGAAGAAATGAATTAATTTTAAAAGAGTCTCTTCAACAATTCTTTGTAGTTATAATATCTCGTCCATTTCCGTGCTCTGTATCCGAAAAACCGGGTTGGGCGTCCACCTTTCATTTCCCTCCGGTTAACCCCTCCTGCACCGCATAGGCCGCGGTATCCGTGCACCGGGGTTTGTCCAGACAGAAGCAGGGTATAACAGACAAAGAGAAAGCTCCTAAGTGCAGCGATTAAAAAAATATTTATTGTAAACCAAAATTTCTGCACTTACAAGAACAGAGAGTATAAAAGCGTTGAGTGGCAGGAGCACTTGACTTTTTCAAAATACCCTTTTGAAAAAGTCGAGTAATATTGGCTCTGTCTCCCACAGACCACCGTGCTCGTATGGCCGAGTGCTCCTACCACTCAACGCTTGTATACTCTCTGTTCTTGTAAGTGCAGAAATTTTGGTTTATAATAAACACAAGCAACCCACTGCAAATATTTTAGGCAAACTGTACCCAAATAAATGAATATCAGATTGCAATTGGCTGGGATAGAATCACAGAAAACACGTGTGGTTGCTATTATCAATGGGTCCCGTCCACGTTCATTTGCTGATAAGGTCATTCCGATGGGCATTTGTATAAGCATGGTTGACGGATGCTTGATACCCACATGCTTATGTGAATGCTTATCTGAATGACCATGGCTTCTATTTTCAAAAGAAAATGCTATAACATGATCCACTTCTCAATCTTTCAGTTCCTTTACTCAATTTGCAACAGCTCCTTCTCTATGGTTATAACCTCATAATTTCAAAACACTGGAAGACATTCTAATACTTTTGCGAGATGTGAAACATCTTTTAGTTCCATCACAAAGCAATGCTGACATTAAGGTTTTCTCTTTAATTAAAAAAAAACAATATAGCTCATCACTATAATCACAAACCATTCTGGCAAATTAGATGAAGTGTAAGCTTAAAGGAGAACTATGAGGTGAGTGAAAATCACTCAGTCTCATAGTTCGAGCCAACGTGTGACAATGAAACTGTCACACGTCGGCTCAATAGATCGGGAAGTGAGCGAACACATAGTGCCGCTCGCTCACTTCTCGATCATCTCCCTGCAGAGAGCCGTGACTGTCACTCACGGCTCCCTGCAGGGATTCCCCCCCCTCCCCTGTCCGATCCTCCAGCACTGACTGGCGGAACGGACGGGTCCCGCTGGCTCTGCCTCTAGATAGGCAGAGCCAGCTGTCCATCATGCACTAATGTCGGGATCCGTCCCGGCTGCGGCGGCCTCAGTATACTGCGAGCTGTAGTTCGCGGTATACTGAGCTTTGGGTCACGGGAGGACGCTAGTTTGTGTCCTCCCGTGACCCTGGAGAGAACTATGGGAAAAAGCACTGACAATAGTTCTCCTTTAATATGTTTAAACAAGACATCTGCCGTAATACAATTTAGAACTAATGTTGCAGATCGAGCTGAACAAGCAACCTACACAATCACCAGAGAAACGAGGCCTGCATATAAACTAGGGATGCACCGATACCGGTATTTCAGTATCGAGTACGAGTACCGATATATTTTTTTTCAGTACTCGCCAATACCGAATACTGATACCGAAAGCCCCATTAAGGCAGCTGGGTGGCGTGTTCACATTAGAGGTGAGGAGATTAAGGGGGGATATGATTTCCATGTACAAAATGTTTAATGGTGGTAGCAACATTAGCGATAAACTGTTTAAAATTAACTCCGTTACAAAAACTAGAGGCCATCACCTAAAATTGGTGGAAAAAAAATTCCAGCACAAGGGGCTAAGGGGGTTCTTCACAGTAAGATCAGTTAGGGTCTGGAACTCACTGCCACAGGCGGTGATTTCAGCAAATAATGTGGAATTGTTCAAGAAACTTTTGGACGATTTCTTAAGGGACCGTAATATACAGGGGTACGGGTACTCCCAGAATGAGATCCTAATAGGTTGGACTTGATGGACTAATGTCTTTATTCAACCTCAAATACTATGTAACTATGTGTAATGACTCGCCACCGACTTCCTGATTAGCCGGGAAGCCAGGTGGTGTGTAAAGACTCGCCACCTGGCTTCCCGATTAGCAGGGAAGCCATCCTCATGCTTCTAGTCACTAGGTTATGAGAAAGCATGGAGCCGGCTTTCTGGCCAATCAGGAAGCCGGACACCGTGTAATGACGCGACGCCCGACTCCCTGATTGGCCGGGAAGCCGGTTTGCTTATCATGAGGTGACGAGGGAGCATGAAGCCGGCTTCACGGCCAGTCAGAAAGCCGGACACCACGTCATTACACGGCGCATGGCTTCCTGATTGGCCAGCTTCCGAACAATCAGGAAGCCAGGCATCGAGTCATTACACACTGCCCGGCTTCCTGATTGTCTGGGAAGCCGGCTCCATGCTCTCTCGTCACTTGTATCGGGCTAGGCATCGGAGCATTTGGGTGAGTACGAGTACACGCCCAAATACTCGGCATCTGCACCGATACTAGTATCAGTATTGGTGCATCCCTAATATCAAACTAGAAAAAATGGTACATGCATGAATCTATAACCGGCCTTTCTAGCAGGGCGCACATTGGGAAGGCTTACAACAATACAAAACACAAAAATTCCCCAGCCTCAACCTGCCAGCTAGCCTGCAACCAAACAAGTAGCCCTGTCAACAGTATGCGTTAAAATCAGAGGTTTTACTTGCACAAACTTTTGGCCAAAAATATGTAGAAGCCACACTGCCGCGCCAAGGCACCTCTGCAAAGTGTGGTCCTAACTCTATGTACCCGAGTCTCCAAGTGTGAGCATATTAATGAAGTTGATAAATTACATGCAGGTGTACCTGGAGGTAGCCAACTCATCCTAATAAGGTGCAGGGACGCACTGGAGGCCCAGCAACCAAAAATGCAAGCCTTCCCAATGTGCGCCCTGCTATAAAGGCCGGTTATAGTACCATTTTTTCTAGTTTGACTATTTTTGGTTTGGGGGACGCACTGGAGTCCCAGTGGGCATTTTTGGTTGCTAGAGTAGAGTAGACAGTGTAGATAATAGTATAATCTTCTGGTGCAAATTTCTAAAATTGTGAGAACTTTTGCTACTGTTGGCATAACATGTTGGAATACCATTGGAGAATTCTTTAAAGTAGTATCAAAGTCTCAATATTTTTTTTCAATAATAAATTCAGATCAAATAAATATACATTGCCCAGCAAAGTATTTCTTTACATTTTTAGCCAAACACTTACAGTCATTATGTTTCCAAACAGCTGGCTCCTTCTCTCTCTGCTACACTGCCCTAAACTTCCTGACCAAGGGAGAGCACAGTCTCAATCAGCTGTCCATCTACTAACTTGGAGAAGGGAGGAAGGAGGGTCAGGGAGGTGGGGAGTGTCTTGCTTTGCTGTGCCTGTGTGTTTGTGGAGACCTACACAGCTTACTAACACACACAGGGGTGGCTCCGTAGGATCCTGCAAGGGAAAGGAGCCACCCTAAAACAGGATATCAGAGCCAGTGCTCAGGGGAACAGCTGATTCTGAAAGAAACAAAAACTTTTAAACACTATGAAGCAGCATTCATTTAAAGTGATTTTTATCAGCATTTGAAATAGCTTAAACAATTTGACTTTAATATCACTTTTACATTGAGTCCATCTGCAAATAAGTCACAGGTAGCCATAGGAACCTAAATTTTACTATTTATACTGTATGTGTTATGGTAACCTACAGCACATTGCAATAATTAGTACTGTTTGCATTATTATTGTTTAAATTATAACAAGTATTCGGAACCTGGAAGTGTTTTATTTGTTCCCCCTACAGATGCAATATTTCCCCATCTGGTTTTAAAACGCAAACTTGAAAGCCGAGATACAGAGCTGCCCTGGTAAGGCTGTCAATACATTTTGCCCATATGTGAGGATTAGGTGGTTCTCACATATCCTGATTATCCCTACATATCTTTATATTACCTCCCCCTACCCACAGTACAGCATGGAGGGGCTCAGTGAAGGTGACATTGAAGGTGTAGAGGTGCCGTATCAGGGTACACATGTCATAGAAGGAGATCTGACCAGCCTCATAATCCAAATATATCCTGACTCTTTTACTGAAGAGCTTGCCAGGTAACCGGATCCAATTCCTATCATATAACACCGAATACTGGTTATTCAGCCAAGATTTGTGCAAACCCCAAGACTTGTTATTCCACCCAATCTCTGAGTGACACCCTTTCCTGTTAATACTAGGGTAACACATCCCAATACTCCAAACTTGTGATCTCTCCACATCCACTTCCCAGTAATGTTGCCCTGAGGAGAAACTCTGAGTGCTTAACACCTGAGCAGACTGAAATCTCTCTGGTCTTTCTGGGTATTTATGGGTAAAGACCGAGTAGGATACAGTTTTCCTGTTATATGATATACAAAGATCATTTCCAGCTGTGTTTACATCTAGTGTAATGTCTGTATCCTGTGGCAGTCCCGACATTTTCAGGGCAGACCAATTACTTGGCCTTCCAGGCTGGTGGTGTGTGTCTTGTATGGTTGAGGCTGGTTGGGGGACTTCCTGAACTAGTACAGCAATGTTGCTACTGTTGTCCTCTGTACTAAAATGTGGATATACATATGCGCCTGTATGTTTCTGCACATTTACCCCAGACATTATATCAGATAAACCCGTTTGTAATATCTGTGAAATCACAGCCATATCCAGATCCCCTTCATCATGGAAGAGTTTACCATGTCTCTGTCTCTCTTCATTATCTCCATCCTCAGCATCACACAGGTCACCTGTATCAGATTCCTGTAAGACAGTCAGTGGATCCATCATGTTAAACAACTCCTCAATGTGATGCATCTTCTTGGACAGCTCTTCCTTTTTTCTTTCCAGTTCCTGGATCACATTCATTATGGAGAATGAGACCCGATTGGCCTGCCCGGAGATCTCACTTAGTACTTTTCCCTCCAGTACTTTCAGCTGTCTCCTAAGGTCTCTGAAAAGGGCAGTGACTTTCTCTTTGCCACTAGCTGATTTTTCTTCGATTTTTCTCCTGTGTTTCTGCAGACTCTGGATTCTTTCCTCCGTCTTTCCTCCCTTTGTCAGCAGTTTCTGCAAAACTTTCCTCATTTTATTTTTTTTCTTTCCAGAGGCCTCCTTTACTGACTCCATCTTATGGCCTGCGTGTTCTCCAATGAGACAGCAGGACACACAGACACAGGTATCATCCTCTATGCAGTAATACTCCAGTAGCTTCCTGTGGATGCAGCAGAAGACCTCAGACTCCTCCTGATCTGACTGAGTAGACAGAAAATTATCCACTATGTTACGCAGTTTCATGTTCCTTTGCAGTGCAGGCCGCTCCTGAAACTCATCTCTGCATTCAGGGCAGGAATATCCTCTAGACCCCCCCTGTGTATTCAGGACACAATCTATACAGACCTGGCAGAAGTTGTGCCCACATTTCAGCATGACAGGATCTGTATAAATGCTCAGACAGATGGAACATTCCAACTCTGCTTTCAAATTAGCAGATGCCATCGCAGTCAATAGTAGAAAGAAATGAAAGTGAAAGTGTATAACGCTTGAAATCCAGATAGACTGGTTTGCATGTGTATCGCACAGGGCAAGGCTGAGTTAATTGGTGACTTGCATGTCTGTTCGTGTTTACTCTTTGTATAGCCAGAGTACAAGGAATGGCAATAGCTATAGCGGCGTGTAATTAGTGGGGAGACAGCAGAGAATACAAAAAATAGAAAGTATGATAGAGTAATGTAAGTAGGGGGACAGCAGAGTATGGGGGACTGTAGTGAGTATGGAAGTGTACAGTCAGTGGGAACACCGTAGAATGCTGTGAGAATGATGGAGTAAAGTCAGTGGGGAGACAGCAGTAAGTATAGTGCAATACATTCAGTGGGTAGGCAGCAAAAAGAGGTAATGGCAGTGACTGTAGTAAAGTATATTCAATGGAGAGTGAGAAAAGTATGTTAAACTGCAGTGATTATAGTAGAGTGCATTCAATGGGGAGATGCAAGAGTTTTGGATTCCATAATAAGTGTAGTAGAGGGCAGTCATGGTAGGCTTCAGTGAGTATAGTACACTGTAGACAGTGTGCAGACAGCAAAGTACAGTAGACCACACTAAGGGGCTGATTTTTAAAGGGCTCACGAGGGGGGCGTGGCCGCGATGTGAGAGGGAGCGCACGTGTCGGGTGAAGCTCCGCTGCCTCCGCTCGGGAAATCCTGAACTATCTCCTGCCTACCGCACCATTTGACCGGTCCAGGTCCCTCACCCTGTGCTAGACTCACCTGAGCGACGATCTATGTCCGCCAGGTCCCGCAGACGTGCCGCAGCGCTGAGACGATCCACCCGGAAAACGAAGGGCTCAGGTGGGGGAAAGGCCGGCGCCATCTTGAACTCCCCTGTGCTTGTCCCTGGGCCTCTCCTGCCGCTGCTCAACATGGATGGGGATAACGTGGAGGGGGTGAGTGAAGGGCCATCACGTACACCTACTACTGGGGAGCCTGAGCCACATACCCCAGGAGCTGCGGGGACATCTGCTATCCTGGCTGCGATTGAGGGGTGCCAGGTCACTCTCACTGCCAAAATAGACCACCTGGCTGCTGAATGCACCCTGATACGCCATGACTTAGACAAAATTCGTTCACGCTTAACCACGGCAGAAACGAGGGTGTCGCAGGTGGAGGACACGGTGCAGGGCCATAATGCTGCGATTACTGATTTGCAACATACAGTGCGTGTACTTGCTGCAAAGGTGGATGACGCGGAGAACCGCATGAGGAGAAATAATGTGCGCATTATTGGAATACCAGAGGGGGAAGAGGGAACGGATGCGGTACACTTTGCTGAAACCCTGTTTAAAAAAGTTCTGGCGCTTGACACATTGCCCCCTACATTCGTGGTGGAACGGGCGCACCGGGTGCCCACTGGCAGGGCAATACCTGGAGCCCCCTCGCGCCCCTTCTTGGCACGCCTCCTGAACTACAGGGACAGAGACAGGATCCTGGCTGCAGCTCGCAAGTCCCCTGACGTGTGTTGCGGTAACGCGCAACTTCGGTTCTTTCCTGATTTTTCAGCAGAGATCCAGAAGCGAAGGAGGTCGTTCGTGGATGTGCGTCGCAGACTTCGGGAGAAGGGGATCCAATATGGCATGTTTTATCCAAGTAAACTACGTTGGGTGGGGGTGTGGGATGTTAATACTAAGTATGTACCCCTACTGCTGTAGGTGATTGTTGTTAATGTTGTTATATGCAAAACTGTTGTATGCAAAACTGAATAAAAAGTACTTTTCAAAAAAAAATAAAGGGCTCACCCTGCATATAGCTGGCAGAACACCATTTGCACAGCATTACTGCCATCCAAGCCGAGGAGCAAAATAATTTCCCTTTATAAATCAGCCCCATGTGTTTAGAGGACAGCCAGTGTGAAGATGACACATTATGGTAGAGTGCAATCCGAGGATAAAAAAGCTGGGTGCAGTAGACCACAGTAAATGTAGTAGTGCAGTCAGTGGGGAGATGGCAGAGTATGGTCCAGTGCAGTGAGATAGCGGAGTATGGAAGTGTATGCAGTGGATTCAACTTAAACCAAAAAATTCACATTGGTAAAAAAAAAATATACAGTCACTACCATACAAGTATAAATAAAGAAAATTGCTATAAACACTCATTGCCATGCATAGAACAGGCATATTTCAGCAGAATACTCTGTTACGCAATCCTGTATAAAATAACTAGGATATTTCCTGCTTGTAATGTTGTATCAAATTACTCAGAATGACATGTACATTGACTCCAATACATGTAATTTGTCTTAGAGTTACAGTTCCTCCAGTGGCAAACTTCTATAGACAGTGGGTGGAATTTATCAAAACTGGAGCAGTTGCCCATGGCAACCAATCAGCTTCTCTCTTCAGTTTGCTCAGGTAAGATTTGAAAATTAAACAGAGAAGCTAGTTGCAGTGCAAATCTGCTCCAGATTTTGTCTGCTCCAGTTTGGATACATTTCCCCCTTTGTATTTTGCCAGTTATTAACATGCATGTTACTGTAGAATGATAAACGTTTTGGCAGCTATAGCTTGCTTACTGTGCCTAATTACTAGACTAGTTGTATGTCATATACACAAAATCATTTTAACACAGGCATCCCAATCTGAAAAAAATCATTTCAGGGAGGTGCCCTCTCCCCCACACCCCACCATCCACGGGGGTGGGGGATTGGGGGTGGAGAGCACCTCCCTGAAATGATGGCAATAGCAGAGGAGCTAATGCTTCCCTTGCTATCTGCTGTTTCTTTTTCTTTCGTATTCTGACAGCTCCTGCCGTCAGAATAAAAAAACAAAACAATAGACAGCATGGGAATGAATAGCTAGATTGCTATTGGCTATTTCAATTTGCAATAGCCAGTAGCAGACTGGCAATTGCACCCGCCCACTGCTGCCCACCCATTAGGGTGACATTAAACTCAGGAGTTAAATCTTAAAAATGCATTCAGCCACTGCTCCAAGCTCTCTCCTGTGATGGACTACAATCTCAATACAAATTAGCAAACTAATCCTGAGATTGTAGTACATCACAGGAGCAAGCTTAGAGCAGTGGCCACTTTACAACACACACAGGGATCCTGGGGAACAAAAGTAGCCACCCTCAATTCAGAGATGATTTGAGGATCTAAAGCTGAGTGATACACAAACAAGATGCAATATTGTTAATAGTTAAGGTACTTTAATGCATTTTTAAGATGTCATTCCTGAGTTTAGTGTCACTTTAAGTCTCAGAAGGTTTACTATTGCAGTTAGAACGCTTATTTCTAATGGTGTCAATCTTTTACGTCTTGTCCTGGGACTGTTTCAGTTTCCCAGTTTGCACTGCTTTCTGTCAGGCACAGATTAGTATATGTACCATTAAAATACAGATTCTGGTGTCATCGTTTCTATTCCATTGCCCTTAGAAAATCACTGTATCAATCATACCTGTATATGGGTTACTTACATTGCTTTTCTTTGCAGGTCTTCTCCTTTTCTGTGGAACCTCAGCTTGGTCCTTGCAGCTCTCTAGAGACATCCTTTTAAACCCATTTGGGAGATTCCCTTTCTGAAATCACAGACACTTATCAGCTATGAAGTTTTCACTTGGATTATGTCTGGGAGTGCTACACTGGTCATTTTTTTACACAGTAAAGCGGCTCTAAACCTGCAATTCCCACTTGGCATCACAAGGTGGCACTGTGACCTAATGTACCATTTAATATGTTGGAGCTATGTAAATCTGTGATGTACACCACTCTAGGTCCCAGAGCAATTCTCTACTCTTCAGAAGTGGCACCATATTTTTGTGCAAGCTATGTTAACATCAATGTCGAGATCCGCCCAGCTGCGTGAGTGCCAGCTGTACCCGCCCCCTCCCCCGTCCATTCCGCCGGTCAGCGCTGGCGGATCGGAGCATGGAGAGGGGAATCCAGCCCCTCCCCTGTCACGGCAGAGACCCGTGATAGGATCGAGAGGTGAGCGAACCCGGTATGTGTTCGCTCACCTCCTGATCTACTGAGCCGACCTGTGACAGTCTCATTGTCACAGGTCGGCTAGAACTATGAGGTGAGTGAAAAGCACTCACCTCATAGTTCTCCTTTAATCATGCAATTATGTGCAAGGCAAAATCCTGTTACTTTAAATTTCCCTTGCACACGATTGGGTATCAGTGAACATAGCTTAGTGAATAAGGAAAACCTAAGTGAACTTTGCAAAGTTAACATTCTTCATGTCATGGATTGGGACTCACAGGAATAAACTGGAGTCAGGTATGTGGACCCTTTCCACTACACTGGCAGGGACACTTAGAGAAAAGGCCCCAAGCAGTGTAGGCTGACTCCCAGAGCTGGAGTACAAGCAGGGAACAGAGCAGGTATGTGAATGAGGCAGTGGAAGTCAGCTTAAGCTGGAAGTTCAAATACAAGGCAGGGTGCTGCAATGCTGATTAGGTGGCATGGGATGCTGAGTAGGTGGCATGGGGTTCCCCAGGATGTGGAATCTAAGAGCCAGCAGGTATTCACCAGAGATCCTGATGGTGGAGATGGGCTTGGCAGCGTCCCGTACGGCATTGATCTTACGATCATGCTAAAAACCAGCCGAAAATCGTATGATTCTTGGCTGGTTTTCTAGCATGCTCCTTAGACAAAAGACGTGCAACCATAGTGTAAAAACGGTCGCACGTCTTCCATACACTCTGCGATTATCGGGATTTCCTGCGATTATCGTGCAATAATCGCACAGTGTATGGGCACCTTTAGAAACAGCAGGAGAGGTCGGCCGACGCCTAAAGCTTGCAGACAGGTGCAAGAGTGAGTCAGGTCCAGAGCACATGTCTGGAGGACAACAAACACCAGCACAGCCCTACATGCCTGCAGAACCAGGGGTAAGAGGTATGTATATACTTGAAGAACTACAAGTAATAGCTCAGCTGCAAGTCTGCAGCTGAACTGAGACACTTTACTCTTTTAGCAAATTAGCTCCAAAGTGTTTGTGG